ATTGCCAATCCTCCTCCTTTTATATTTTTCCCCAAAGCCCCAGTAGATAGTTGTGTGTCATAGTTGCACATCCTTCTAGTTGCTGTATGTGGGATGCCGCCTCAGCATGGCCAGACAAGCGGTGCATCGGTGCGCGCCCGGGATCCAAACCGGGGCCGCCAGTAGCGGAGCACGCACACTTAACCGCTAAGCCACGAGGCCAGCCCAGAAACACAATTTTGATGTAATCAAATCCATTAATTTTCACATTATGTTCTGTGATCCCTAAGACACAGACATTCTCCAAAATTTCTTATTAGCCTTAAAGCTTTATATTTCTTATTTGGGTCTTTACTCCTTCTGGAGTCTTTGCATATAATGTGTAAGGTAGTGATGCTGCTTTTTCTCCAAATAGCTGGTTCTCCTAATAAAATCTAAGCACCTACCTAGGCACCTTTAAGCAAGCTCTTTCTCATTACCTAGTGGTGCCACTTATGAAACTCATACACACATGAGTTTTTCTGAGCTCACCAGTTTATCCCAGTCTATTTGCCTTTCTTTTGCTGGCATTATACTGTTTTTATTACTATAGCTTTGTAGTAATTCCCATGATCTAGTAGGTCTAGTGCTTCCTTCCTCTTCTTTGTCAAAACTGACTTGGCTAATCCTGGACCTTTATTGGTATATGTTAATTTTAGAATGAGTTTGTGAAGTTTCTCAAAAAAAAAACAAGTCAGGATAGAATTTTGAATAGGAGGCAGTGACACGACAGATTCAGAGAAATAGGCATGATTAGGTTAAGCCATACAGTACATGATAATCTTTTGGCTTTTAATAAAGTTCGAATTTTTTTCCATGAGGTTTTATGCATTCCTCATTAGGTTAATTTATGTTATGCTATTTTTCTAAGTGGGCCGCTAATGGTATTTGCCAGGGGTCAGGAATCTATGGCTCACAAGCCAAATCCAGTTTGCCACATGTTTTTGTAAATAATGTTTTACTGGAACACTGCCACACCCATTGGTTGACATAATGTCTATGGCTGCGTTCAAGCTATATCAGCAGAGTTATAGCTGCTGAGTCAGAGACCATATAGCCCACAAAGCTGAAAATATTTATTATCTGGTTCTTTATAAAAAAGATTGCTAACCTCTGGGTAGAGAAAACACCTGTCAGTTTTTATCAATTAATCTTATGTTAGAGCATTTTGCTGAATTTTCTCAGCTCTAGTAGTCTGGTGATTATTTTTGGATTTTATGTAGATAATTGTACCATATGCAAACAGTGAATTTTATTTCTTTTTTTCCCCCATCTTACTTTGGTTTGTGTTCAAAATTTCTCAATTAAATATAATGTTTGCTACAAATTTTGGGTACATAGGTTTTATCAAGTTAGCAGAATTCTCTTTTAGTTTTCTGAGAGTCTTTTCATACACAGATGCTAATTTCCAGAAAAAAAATTTTTTATTCTAAAAAGCTATCATTTGACAATTTATGACACTCCGTTATATGGTATTTTGCACATTTTATAGTGAATGGATACTTAACTTTTCATGCTTTAATATTTGGGTTTCCTATTAAACTGGCTGATCCAGTGAAGAATGGTACTTCTGTGTATCTCTAGTATAGTACCCTCACTCACCAATGTTTACTGCATGTGTATAGGGTGTTAGCTATTACACAAGAAATTGTGTTTTTTCTTACAGAAGCAAGTACTACAGTTAAGTGAATAAAAATGGTATTGTGCTAGCAGATAAGGAAGACGATAATAAAAGAAAATATAAAATTAGTTTTATCTTTTAGGTGAAAATCGGTAATTTTAAGTAGAAAAGATGTCTCAATCTTTGGAACTCACAGTATTTTTATAATAACCCACAGGAAGTTCTGTAATTTCAAATATTATTTAAAGCATTAACAAGTATATAACCATCAAAAGATAAGCTGGAATAAAACAATATTAGTTCTGATCTAAAGACTAAATGTGAATATTCACAAAGAAAATATTTCTAACTTCTAAAACTTCATCAATCGAGAAATCTACATGATTTGACCACGTGATTTTAATATCTTATACTTAGTTCTACTCTTGTATTACATCTAATAAATGGAGTAAGAATAAAATGTAATTAATATACTTAGGTGTATTCTCATGAAAAATTTAAATGAAAAAACTTCACACAAGATAAAAAAGATAGAAAACCACTTATTAAAGGTTCATTTTAGTTGTGTAGAAAATTAAGCACTGGGGCCGGCCCAGTGGCGTGGTGGTTAAGTTTGCATGCTCCACTTCGGTGGCCCGGGGTTTTCGGGTTCGGATCCCAGACGCAGACCTACACACCGCTCATCAAGCCATGCTGTGGTGGCGTCCCACATCCAAAAGAGAGGAAGATGGGCACAGACGTTAGCTCAGGGACAATCTTCCTCAAGCAAAAAAGAGGGAGATTGGCAACAGATGTTAGCTCAGGGCCAATCTTGCTCACCCAAAAAAGAAACAAAGAAAATTAAGTACCAGGTTGTTCTTCTCTCTTTTATTTGTTACATTAGCAATTACTAAATTATTACTCACTCACTTAAGAATCATTATTTTAAGGATTTCAAAATACAGTTTCATAATCCCTCACCAGAAAATGCGAAATTCAAAAAGCTCCGAAAACTTAAAAATTTTTTCACAATTCCCTTGAGGGCAACCTAACCTGAAGTGATATGAGGCTATTTATAGTCCCTATTTATCCTACTTAGTATCAATATTTGCTGAATATTAATATTTTTGATTATGAGAGCCCCTGGACTCTACATAAATATTAAAATAATAGGTGGCGTTATGTACAATATTACTTCTCCAAGTTTTGAAAAGTCCAAATACTGAAATACAACTAGCCCTGGAGTGTGGATCTGATAATTTTAAAACTTAAAAATATTTTCTCCCATTCCGTGTGTTGCCTTTTCACTCTGTTGATTTCTTTCCTGTGCAGAAACTTTTTAGTTTGATGTAGTCCCATTTGTCTATTATTGTTTTTGTTGCTTGTGCTTTTGGTGTCATATTTAAGAAATCATTGCCTAGACCAATGTCATGAAGGTTTTCCCCTAAGATTTCTTCTAGGAGTTTTATAGATTCAGGTCTTATTTTCAAATCTTTAAACCACATATCTGATAAGGAGTTAATATCCAAAATATATAAGGAATTCTTACAATTCAATAGCAAAAAACTCGAATAACAAGATGAAAAAATGGGCCTAGGACTTGAATAGCTGTTTCTCCAAACAGTCAACAGGTGTATAAAAAGATGCTCAAATCAGTAATCATTGGGGAAATGCAAATCAAAACCACAATGTGATATCACCTCACACCTGTTAGTGTGGCTATTATCAACTGAAAGAACAAAAGGTAACAAGTGCTAGCAAGGATGTGGAGAAATTGGAACTTTTGTACACCGCTGGTAGAAATGTAAAATGGTGCAGCTGCTGTGGAAAACAATATGGAGGTTCCTCAAAAATTAAAAATAGACTACCATATGATCCTGAAATCTCACTTCTGGGTATATATCCAAAGGAAATGACACCAGTATCTCAAAGAGATATCTGCACTCCCATGTTCACTGAAGTACAATTCACAATAGCCAAGATATGAAAACAACCTAAATGTCCATCAACAGATGAATGGATAAAGAAAATGTGATATATACATATAACGGAATATTATCCAGCTTTAAAAAAGGAAGGAAATCCTACCATATGTGATAAGGTGGATTAACTTGGGGGACATTATGCTATGTAAAATAAGCCAATCACAGAAGGACAAATACTGTATGATTCCACTTATATTAGGTATGTAAACTAGTCAAACTCATAGAACCAGAGAGTAGAATGGTGGTTGCCAGGGGCTGGAAGAAGGCAGAAATGGAGAGTTACTGATCAACAGGAATAAAATTTCAGCTAGACAAGATGAATAAAGTCCAGAGATTTGCTGTCCAACAATGTGCCGATAGTTAACAATACAGTATTGCACATTTAAAAATCTGTTAAGAGGATAGATCTCAAGTTAAGTGTTCTTCCCACATTAAAAAAAAGTTAAAAAGATTTCTAATTCTTTCATCCCTCATTTACCATCAAATGCAATTCTTATACTCCTGTATCTCTACTTGTGCTTTTATATTCTAAAACATTAATTTAAATAAATAAAAATATTACTTCCACATCAGATTCATTTTTATAGATTGTTCTTTCAACAGATAATTTTTTAAAAAGTCACAAAAAAGCTTGAAAAATATGAAACAAAATGTTTAATAGTGATGTGACTGTATTAGACAATGTAACGTAACATGTGTAACATATTTATACTGTACCTTATTCTAAAAGAGATTTGAATTGGAAGGCTTTTTAATTATAGCACATTAATTAAAGTGCAAATTTAGATAACTTCTATACTGAGAATAAAATATTAAAATATAAAGAAGGCATAGATATTTGCAACAGACAGTTAGGTTCTTCTTTCATTCTGGATTTCATTATCTGAAATCTAAGGCCTCAGAATCATGCAATAAGCCATAAAAAGTGGGAGCACTTACTTAGGAGCAGAAGGACCTCTTGGCCATGTTCCATCTTCATTTTTCTGTTCTATCACTAACACCTGCAAATACGACATAATAAAAAAGTGTTTTTCCTTAACTCTGAAGTTAAAATAGCTTTAGAAGATTAGCTGAATACACTAAAAAACTAAAGTAACTCTTGTGATTAAAGGACACAGTTGACAAGGTGAAGAGAGATTTGCATTTTGATTTCAAAGTTGGGCAGGGGAAACAAAAAGACCTTAAACGTAAAAAGTCAGCAATAATAGTCAGAAGGAAAGAAGGTACATTATGAAGAAAATCATTGGTTCTATTAACTATAAGAAAGTTGAAACCAAGTAGAAAGAATATAAATTCCTTGAGTTTAGGGAGTACATTTTCTATTTCTTTTTTATTTGCAGCCTATTAAGACAGACCTGTGCAAAGAACGGACGCTCAATAAATGGTTACAGTTGCTAAACATACTGACGTATGATCATGGCTAACTATTATTATGCAAATACTGAGGAACAGTGACACAGATAATTCCAAATTACAGATTACAGTTTATTTGGGGCTCTGTCTTTATTTACATTATCACTATGTAAATTATGGAAATTACATTAAACTATGTAAATCTTTTAATATATAAATAATAGAGTCACACTTGTGAGACTCAGACTGCAGTGCCTTAGAGCAGCATGGTTAAGGCAGACAAAAATCACCTCTAACAAATGAAAAGTACAGGCTAAGGTGGAGCTATACTTTATTCTAAAGTATCCCAGAATCTTTCATTTCTTTACTAAAAGAAGCCTTTCTTTTAAGTTTTTGCTATGGGTGAGTCTGCACAGAGAAGAGAAACTAAGCAAAAATAACTAGCAAAAAAAAATATGCAACAATCTCAACAAGAAGTTAATATCTAAATTTCCACAGGAAAACTATTATATAGGAAATATGCCGTGAAGTAAATTCAAGGCATTACAAATTTCAATACATTCTACATATTCAGCTTCATTAACTCTTTTTCTTAAAGTTGCAATTCTGTAACCTACTCTACATACTCTTGATAATGTACTTGTGTGGACTGTATGTTTCAGGCCTTTGATAAGTTGGAATTTGGATCCTAACCATGTTAAAATGTAAGTCTGTTTCAGAATACATACAACAAACAATAAAACATTGATTAAAAAAATTCATGGAACCATGTTGTTGAAAGAAAATGCTAATTAAAATATTAAAGTTGTCTTTAAAAAATTAATATTTCCGACATTCAAAAAACACATATGAAGGGGCCGGCCCCATGGCATAGTGGTTAAGTGCACACGTTCTGCTGCTGGCGGCCTGGGTTCAGATCCTGGGCGCGCACCGAGGCACCGCTTGTCAGGCCATGCTGTGGCGGCGTACCACATAAAGTGGAGGAAGATGGGCACGGATGTTAGCTCAGGGCCAGTCTTCCTCAGCAAAAAGAGGAGGATTGGCATGGATGTTAGCTCAGGGCTGATCTTCTTCACACACACACACAAAAAACACACATATGAAGTATATATAGCATAAAAAGAATAAGTGCTCTGTGTACCTACCATCCTGATCCCTCCCTGATCATAGTCCTCTCCGTACCATAGACAATTAACCATTATTCTCAATTTTCTGATATGATTCTGATATAGTCATATATTTATATATTTTTACGGATTTATAAAATTGGATTTAGTGATGATTTTCAACTCTTGAGAAAAGTTTTCCTTTACTGCAACTTATAACTAGACAGACATCCATATATAAACTACACACACACACACACACACACACACACACGTAAACTTTACAGTTATTTGGAGGACTTAGTTATAAAACAAAAGATTTCAGCTACAGAAAATTTCAAAGTTATGCATTTGATGTCAATATTTACGGTTTGTTTTTTATAGGTAGGCCCTAAAACTGAAGTAAGAATCAAGTAAATATTTAAAATTTAACCAGAATATTTTAATTCTTAACAGTATTTGTACTTAAAATTCCATGTTTTTACATTCACAGATATTAATGTTGAAGGCCATCAGAAATATTAAAATTCACTCCTTTATTCAAATGTATCATTTTCTGAATAATTTTTTGCTCATGTTTAAAACTTTAACTCAAGATGAAAATATTTTTAGAAAGGTTTCAAAATTTAAATAAATTGAACACAAACACACAAAAGGGAGAGAGAGAGGCCACCCATTTTGGGAGACAAACTCTTCAATATTATATCTTTGTTTCATTTTTAATGAGGACACTTCAATTTCAGTAAATTAAAAAGTCCCAGATAATGTTTAGTTCATTTATCATCAGTCAGAAAATAACTGTTACAAAATCTGGAAAATTTAATGCATATCCTTTGAAACATTCCTACTTCAAAAGGTCAAATGTCCTTAAGGACACTTAATCTTCTAATTCTTATTAAAATAATTTATACTGTCATCTGCAATCTAATAAATGCATTCCTATCAAGAACATCAAATTCTTTAAATTCTCTAAGCCTCAGTTTTCTAATGTACATGATGGATAGAATAACAGCCATTACACAGGATTAATCACTGAAAATATTTAAAGAAATAATTCTATGTATTTCAAACTGTACTCCTGGAGCCACGTGAAGACCCGACGGATGGTAGCCAAGGAGAGAGGTGTACTTCTACGGGTAGACAGAAAGAGGGAGCTGGCTGGCTAGGGAGGGGAATGTTGACTAACCAGCAGCGTTCCAAGTTCCTCACTCCAGCTTCAATAAGGTAACTCTTCTTTTAATTGTAATACATATTAGATTTTGTAAGATTTCACTTTAAGAATATAATGGATAAAATAAGCCTGAAAATCAGTTTCTATAGCCTAGTACAATACTTAACAGATAACAGAGGATTACTAAAAATTAATTTTCCTCTGTTCCTCTGAATTTTTTAACAGCATGTATCATAATATGGATGTCAATAGTAATTTTAAATTACTATTTAAACAAAAACTTCCATATACTGGAGCACCAGGCTCTGTGATAAGTACTAAAAACAAAAATAAATAGAACACGAAGTCCAACCAAAACAAGGACCTCCCAGTCTAGCTGGGGAGCTCAAGATATAAATAACTAAAGCATATAATGAATCATACAAAAGACATATAAGTAAATCACTATGGAAGTTAAGGGAGTAATTTTTTCTCCAAAGTAGAAAAATCCTATACCTCAAATAGATATCGAGAAAAGTAAATCAGGAAAGGATGAAGAGATGATGTGACATCTGAATTGGAATTTGAAGGATGAATAATCTGATCCGGTTAGACTACATGATAGGATGGTATCGTTAATTTAAATATTTTGATGTTTAAAAGGACTTTTTGCCGGATGGATGCAGGGACTGGGAAGAAGGGTACAACAGGCAGATGGAACAACATATACGAAAGCACAGGAGTATGGAGTAGCATAGCATGCTTAGGAAACTATAAGCAGTGTCATTTGGTATTGTCAGAGCGTAAATCACAAAGCAAGGATAATCTAAAGATGCTGGAAGACTAGGCAAAAGGGCAACCCAGGACTTGCATGCTGTGTTAAGGTGCCTGGACTTTATTCTGTAATCGTTAAGGAACCAGGAAAGGTTTATGAAAAGGAAATAATAAGGTTTACATTTTATAAAGAGTATTCTGACAGAAATATGGAAGATCGAAAGTGGACATGCAAAAGACTGACGGCAGAGGGATCTGTTAAGAGACTACTGAAAGATAAGGGCTGGGAATGGAATAGAGAGATTAATTCAAGAGATATTTAAAAAGCAGGATCAGTAGGACTTGCCAATTGTGTCTAAACATCTTCATTTCTCAACACATTATTTCTTTGGATTATATCATAAAGAAAGACCAAAATGGGGGTTGATACCTTCTAGCAGGGGTAGGTAAACTACAGTTCACTTAGCTCACTGATCGCTTTTATCAATTAAGTTCGTTGGAACATAGCCATATCCATTTGTTTACGTATTGTCTATGACTACTTTTGTGCTACTATAAAGGCAGAGTTGTAGTTGTGACAGAGACCATATGGACCTGCTGAGTCAAAAACATTTAATATTTGATTCTTTACAGAAAATTTACTGACCCATCTTATTATATTAGCTGTGCCTGTGATGGAAAATAATTTCTTTTTAAAAAGTGGGTTTTCTCAAGCTCAAGGAGGGAAGCAGGAATTATAGCTAGTGACCAGCAGGGATAGGGAAGAGATGAGTTAGAAAGAAGAAGCCAGTGACAGTAGAACCCATTATAGATCGTCAGGATATCCATAAAGTTTGTGACTTTAAAAAGCTTCACGTATAGTATGCTTAAAATAAACAGTATTGCTAAACAATACCTGTCCTTGGTATAAACCAGCATCCTGAATGGTGCTGTCTGGTTTATTCAGTGGTTCAAATGTATTACTCATGTATTTGTTCCACAATCTGGTCTCCTTTTCATCTGGAATATTGAAGATTTTTCTTATTTCCTTTTCAATTGTATCTAGATTTAAGGAGGAAAGATATGTGAATATAATAAATATTTTAAAATATACAACACAGAGCTAAGTGATCGCCAGCATAAAAATCCTAAATTTAAAATACTGATATAATAGCAGAAATAGATGAACAAATACGTCGGAAATACATAAAAAACAATTAAGAAGGCTTTTTAAGACCAGGTGTGCTCTTTAGGAACAAAGTGGTAATTATAACTCTGACAGATGATTATTAGGGAAAATCAAGACCTCAAAAGGTACAAGAGTTCAATCATATAACACTAAAGCATAATTTATGTTATTCAGGATGAACTTTACACATTATAAAATCAATATAGTTTCTGATGGTATGTTGGAATAAGACATTAAAGTACAACTCAGAGATGCTACAGATGGAAAATATTTTTAATTATAACATAACCAATTTAAGAATTTTATATTAAATTGAATATAATTTACAGTTTGAACAGCTAACTAAAACTAAATAGAATATATGGACACAACAAAAAGGAAACTGCTTTCTTTGAAAGCATGTCTGTATTGGTCAAAATTTCTTGCTTTCAGAGTAAAACCATAGATTTTCCTTATTTCTAAATCAATTATCTGAGTGGAAGAAGTCTTTAATTGGAGCAGCTTAACTTGCTATAAAGAAGACACGGAAGTATCTACATATTTGAGAGTACAGATGTAATTAAGTTTCAGTACCATATAGTAAAATGAAACTTTAAAACTTTTACACATTAGAAAGAGATATTATAAAACACTATTAAATCTATCAAATTCTGGTCAATAACTTGCCTAACTTAGACTCAAGAAAACTGTAATTAAAATATTTTATGACATATGAAGAAATATAAAATACTTCTAAATTTTAGAATACTTGGTTAGTTTTGGAAAAAGCATTATTTATAAAATACTAAAACCCAATAATATATGTTCTCTGAAGAAATATAAAAACCCATACTTATCCTACATACGTAAATTTAGTCCAATAATATTAGCAGCTAATGTCCTTTAATAGCATTGTAGTCAATGAGATTTTGATTAAGGCATTAAATAAGTAGTAAATCTTACAGTGTATCTCAAAACTTAGGGAATTAGCCAGAATATTTAAACAATTCCACAAAATATATTGACAGTATTGCTTTCTACTTTGACAGGGTTAAACTTTTTTTTTGTCCTCTTTACTGAAGTGTAAATGTATATGAAAAAATGCACAAGTCATCAATATATCATGACGAACTTCCAAAGTGGACACGGTCACAGTCATCCAGCACCTAGATCAAGAAAGAGAACATTACCTAGGAAGGAGGGTAGAGGAAGAAGCCGAGGAAGGGAGGTCATTTTAGTTTTTCTATAAAAATGAATACTTCTTTCCTGATCGCAGAAATAATTCTTGCTCATTGCAAAAATTTAGAAAATACAAATATAAATAAAATGTCTAACTAGAGGTAACCACTGTTAACACTTTGATATTTCTTCTTCCAGACATTTTTCTATTAATACACAGATATTTATATACATAATACAATACATACATACACATATCAGAATTTCCTGTTCATTGAGTGTTGCAATCTACTCATGTATAGGAGAAGAACATTACAGGCAGAAGAAAGAGTAATGCAAATGCCCTGTGGTGGGAATGTATTTGGCATGTTCTAGAACAGCATGGTACACTAACGTGGCGGAAGTAGAATGAGCAAGGTGGACATGAGATCATACAGGTACTCATGCAGGATCATTCAGAATCTTGTAAGTTATGAAAGTATTCTACCTTATCTAAGTAAGAAGGAAAGCCATTGAAGAGTTTTGAGCAGAGAAGTGGCATGATCTAATCGACATTTTAAATGTATACTTTTGCTGCTAGTGAAGAACAAATTGCAGGATCTCAAGGGTGGGAGACTAGGCTACTATAGAAATCCAAACCAAGGTAGTAGCAGTGGGAGCAATGTTAAGTGGTCAGAATGAGAATAGATTCTGAAGGAACTGCTTAGAAGATATGCTGCTAGATTATATGCAGGGTAAGAAATAAGAGAATTCGAATGATACCAAGGTTTTTGGCCTGAGAAACTGGAAGAATGCAAGTGGTGTTTACTCAGATTGGGAAGAATGACAGGGTAGCAGGTTTTGGGGAGAAGGGGGAGAGTTTAGTTTCATACATGTTATATCTTGAGATTCTTATCAGACACAAGTAAAGACATGGAATGGCTGAAACTGGAATTAAGGGGGAGTTTTACGCAGGAGATATAAATTTTAAAGATATCAATATGCAAAAAGTATTTAAAGCCAGGGGACTAGAGGAAATCACCAAGGAAAAGAGAAGAGATCCAAGGATTAAGCATGGAGACACTCTGATGTTTTGAGATAAGGAATATGAAAAGCATCTTACAAAGGACTCTGAGAAGATACGGCCAGTGAAAACTTGTGCTCTGGTAGCCACGTGAAGAGAAAGTACTTCCAGATGGAAAAGTGAGTAAATATGTTAACTTTTGCTGGCAGGTTAAGAAAATGGAAGACTTTGAAATTACCATTGGATGTATCAACGCAGAAGCAATTAGAGACCATCATACAAGCAGTGCCAAGGGAATGGTAGGCCTGAATGTCTGATGTAGGAGGCTCAAGAGAGATTGGAAGCAGAGGAGGTAGTAGCCAGAAAGCAGGATGTTTAAACTGAGATTTGACAGGTGCGGTTATAGATAAGGACAGTCTAGGGTATAACTATGGGAGTTGGTGGCTGAGGCTGGGTGCAGATCAAGATCACTGAAGTAGAGAATGTCAAGGTATTGAGAGCACGTGTATGTTTATCCACATATTAATCTGACTCTATTAGGCAGTTAATGAAAAACACACAGAAGTAGAAAAATATTACTACAGGTACTAGAAATAAAATTGTTGTGACAAACATTTCTAGTAGGAACATTTAATAAGAAAGTTAAGCAATTCTACTAAAACATTTCATAAACATAAAGCATTTTTCAAAAAGTTTTATAACAAAAATTATTTTTTAAGTGGTATCCTTAAAGAAAAAATAAACCCCAATTTTATCTTTCTTATTAGAACATGTTCAATACCCAAATATACCAATTTAGGGAGAAAAATATTCAAAGGCAATGTATTTTGGCTCTGAGTGTGGTAAATTATTTCTTGCCTATGACTACTATCATTTTTATTATAAATCAATGTAGGTAGCACTAGCTGAAAATGGAACATTGTATTGATTTTGTAAAAACAGAAAACAGGTACTTATATTTCTTAATTCTATTCATATAATTTATATAGACGTATTACATGTACAAAGTTATTTTAATCAAGATTTTTAAAAAGACCACAATTGAAAAATATACATCCCATATTTCATTTCTTATTATCCAAATTCTTTATTGTTCCAAAACTCATGTTTTTAGAAAAACAAAATCAGCCCAATTCACATTTGCAGAGATTGTGGAAGGGAGCAATTAAGAGATGAGACTCTGGTATAAGAGTCCTGGTTATGCAATTAAAATACTGGCTCTATCACTTGGTACCAGAATGAACCCAGTAGGTTATCTAACCTTTCTAAGCCTCAGCTTAATCACCTATAAGATGAGGACAGTCTTGTTGAGGTTTAAATAAGAAATTTCCTGTAAAGCACCTAAAACATACTAAGTATTCAATAACTACTAATTATTATGAGAACTATAATCATGAAGTCTCTAAAATTCCTGACTTGATTGATTTTAATTTTTGCAAAACTTTCTGCTTTAGAAAGCAAACTTGCTCTAATATAGACTTTCAAACTTTTAACACTAAGACCTACAGTAAGAAATTGTGACCCAATATACACATATACGTGTTGATATTTTCTACTCTGATATTTTCCATTCCATTCTCTTTACTCCCGAAACTATTTAATGACCACCAAAGTATTGACAATACAGTTCGAAAAACATTGCTCTAACACAGTAAGAAGCTTTAGCTATACAAAAATTCAGTTCAAATACAACTTTAAGGCATATATCCAATGTAGTAGCATTATTTATTTATTTTTTGATTAGATTTTTTTGTGAGGGGAGGTGAGGAAGATCGGCCCTGAGCTAACGTCCGTTGCCAATCTTTCTCTTTTTTGCTGAGGAAGTTTAGCCCTGAGCTAACATCTATGCCCATCTTGCTCTATTTTGTAGGACGCCACCACAGCATGGCTTGATGAGTGGCGCATAGGTCCAGACCTCTAATCCAAACCTTTGAACCCTGGGCTGCTGAAGCGGAGTGTGCAAACTTAACCACTACACCACCGGGCCTGCTCCTGTAGTAGCATTTTAAAGTATTAGTAAATTTAAATTATGTTGATTAAAATCTATGCAAATCAAACTCTTTGAAGCAGAGATTCTTTTTAATTACATATCTCCTTGACAAATTCTTACTTAGTACTTAAATGAGAACTCCATAATGCTTGTTTTCAATTCAGAAATCAAGCCAGTTGATCTTCATATAATGAGTTTTAAAATATTATTCAGTGAACTAATGTTCTAAAAGAAGATTTCTGATTATCTAATGTTTATATATAATTTTCCTATAGAAATGAGTAAGGAGAGAAGAAAATACCAAACTTTTAAAATAACTAGAAAACATTATCTGTACCAAGTATTTTAAAAGGTAGCTTCTCATTGATATTTCAATTGGCTGAACATTTCAGAGATTAGTCTCTGAATTAATTTTAAAGACCATCTCTGTTGGATAGACTTATAGATTCCTGGTGTGCATATTTTAATATCATGCTTAATGTAATTTTATATGTTATATTGAAAACGTTCAGTTTTTAGCATGTAGAAATGTTTTATTTTCCTGAATATGTTCGACAAATCCAGAAGTTCCCAAGTTAAGTAATTTATCCATTATAATATAATAAAATGACATTTATATATGAAATTCCTAATATTTTAAGCATTCAATTTAGAAAGATGACCGTATGAGTTTATTGAAATTGCATCTCAAACTTACAAATATTCTAGCTGAATAAAGAGGAGGAAAACAAAAACTTCATACATAATATTTTATTTGGTGAAAACATGAGGATTAATCAAGCACTGGGTACCATTTCATGAACAACATAGGTTAAACTAGTTTCCTCCTGTGAAATGGGTAAGTGGTGAAAGTCAAATGTACTTAGGAGATTCAGAAATAGTTTTATTTACTTTTAATAAAGTGTACTTAATGACTGGTTCCAACAAGGAAAGCTATACAGTGCTATAATTCATAAATTTACTAATCTCTCTTCCTTGCTGGAGAGTTCTGAATTAAGTGTTATGTCCTTCTCCACTGTCCATTTACATTTTCCAACAAGATCAATGTCATTACCATTAATCTTGTTTTCCAATAACTTTATTTTAAAATACAAAACTACCTTTTATAATTTTTATTATGCATTGTTTTATCAAAAAGTACTATAATTTTGCTACTAAATTCATAATCATTTATTTTAAAAAATTTTATTCAATACTTTCTTGATCTTAAATTAAAACATGACTTTTAAAGAGAATGAAAAAAATTTACATATATTTTAATATATATTTATATGCATACATATGTAAGTACATAAAGATAAAAAGATATATAAATATATAGAGGAAGTTAGGTACACTTATTGAGACTATAATTCCCTAACCTATTCATTATTAAAAAAAAATCAATGTGTCATAATAATGCTAAGCCTGCTGCCTTATGTAAGTAGCTACTTAACTGTATTTAGAGTCCAAAGAATAAACTGAGAGAAAAAAGGAAATAATCTATTACCATTTTCCATGCTAAAAAGGGGAAACATTATTATGGATATATACATTACATTACCTGACAAAGTTTTATTTAAGCAAGTTTTTATTTAAAGTTCTGTTTCAATTTATATTCATGTTACAAACATGATATACATTTTTCAAATGCTAAATTAAAACAAAACTATTTGATTTTTTTTAAAGTAAAATGGCACAAATATTAAACATCAAATAATGTTAAGTAGATCTAGAAACGATAAGTAATTCAACTCTAAGCCAAGATATATTGCAACAAGCTTGGAAATCTGCAATGGTTAAGTATACACCCTTAAAATGGTTATCATCCCAGCAGTACATAACAAACAGAATTATAACTAAATTTCTAATAGTAATGGTTTACCAAAGAGACAGAATCTTGCATTACCTATTGTGTCAGCTTTGCTAAATCTTCGTGTTACAACATTGTTCATGTTTCCATTTTCACAGAGCTTCAATTCTGTGAGATACACTTCTACTTTGCAGTGCTTTACAAACATACCCTGTTCAACCACCTAAAAAACAAAACAAAACAAATCAGTGTCAGCTATAGCTCAATATATTTTACTACCTCTAAGAGCAATACATTTCTCTAAAGAGGCGTTAGAAAAAAACTGCAGATCTCCAACGAAAAACAATAACTATTAAATCCTGTCAATATAAAATGAAAGATACTGGATAGTGGAAAAAGCAAGAAGCATTTCTTGAACTTACAGAATATGAATAATCATATTAAACATGAACAGACAGTTTGGAAAGGCATTCTACAGATCTATGAAGATATTTTGGCATACCATAAATAATGAATACATTCAGTATTTATGAGAAAGTTTACCCAAAATGTAAGTACAGCTCTGATTAAAGATACAAACATACTTCTAGCTTTTAGTACTTGATCTCAAGCAGAAAACCTTTAAAAATTGTAAGTTTTATACAATTTTAGTTAGCAATAGCTATAATATCACTCTGTATGTTAAAACAAATCTTTTAAAATGATAACTCCAAATTACTGCTGCCAAAATATTCAGCTATGCCCTGTAACTGATATGCTAGTTTTCCACCCTAAGATGACTTTGTTTGACCTTTAAATGTGCACTTAAGAGTTCTATGTAACAAATGAAAATAAAAAAGCTGCTAAACATGCAAGCAATAAAGCAGAAGAAGAGCAGATATGTATATATTAGGGTCACCTTTTATAAGTATATTTCCTTTTGATCTTCTAAAGGTTAACTGTAGGATTTCAGTCATGAATACTGTTTCTGAAAATAGTAATTGGCCTGATATATGATACAATAGACAAATATGGCAAAAGGGAGGCTCCAAATGACTGCTGTACTCACAAGCTTAGCATCAATCCAGTAAAGGCCTTACAAATTTGTCTTTTACTCACAGGGAAATTGTTGCAGCTCAAAAAATTCAAATGTAGTTTATCTAGTATTTAATGTCCAATCTAACAGTAATTTTTAGGATACTGTGTCATATATATCCTAATTATACTTGCTACATTCACATTTCTAAAACAGGTAACAGCCTGCACCTCTCCTTTTGTTAATTACCTTAATTCACTTTACACACTAATATATAAATTGTCTAACTCTTAACTAATGAAATTTGTTTTAAATCTCTTATGTTTATTTATTTTGAGGTTAAGAATGCAGTAAAAGATACTGTATCATTTAGTTTTATAAGATTACATGTAACTATATTTGAGAAGAAAAACTAGGAATCAAATATTCCTCAATTAGAAATTTCTCCTCTAGGACTCAATATCTGAGTAAGAATCCTAAAATAATATTATATTCAGGTTGTTGCTAATCACTGGTAGGTTGCTAAAACTGAGGTACTTACAGGCCTCATTTTTATGGGGGAAAAAATGGAATGAACAACAACAGAGCAAGTAATAGGATAAAGAAACAGGACAAAATAACAAAAGATAAGAAAATCCCTCAACATGATTTATATTGAGGTATATATTTTCTAAATAAACATAATTTTTTGAAAATGAGAATTAATTTTCATAACACTAATAGATATTTTCCTGGAAAGAATCTGGTGATTTAGGGCCGGCCCCGTGGCTTAGCGGTTCAGTGCGCGCGCTCCGCTGCTGGCGGCCCGGGGTCGGATCCTGGGCGCGCACCGACGCACCGCTTCTCCGGCCATGCTGAGGCCGCGTCCCACATACAGCAACTAGAAGGATGTGCAGCTATGACATACAACTATCTACTG